TAGTATATTTTTGAGAGTGCTGGTAATTTTCTAACTTTGAAACTTTTATAAGCGGTTTATGAATAAAATATTAGTAATGTCTTAAAAGTAGCTCATATTTATTTTTAGGTACTTAAAATTTATTATTTTAGTCTAACCTTACTTAAATTTGGTTCCGTTATTTTATTACCTAATAAATAATCGTATATAATATAAAAAACTAATTCTTGATTTTTTTCTACAAAGTAAATTTTTACGTGTAAGCTTAGTTGACAATATATTTGCTTACAGCGTCTGTCACTCAGATAGTCACTCATAACAGATGTTATAGTCAAACGTCGAAGCTTCGGCGCTCCTAGGTTTAACTAGTCAGTTCTCAGGTCTGGCTTAAGGTCTTAGTCAAGATCAAATAAATGATGTTTTTCAGCGTTTAACTAAATAATTTTTTTCAAAGCTAGGAGAGCTTACTTTGGTTAGTCAAACATCGCAATTTAATTTTATGAAATCAGGGTATGACCAGTCAAACTCCAATCCCTTTTTTTTCTCACCTGCTTCGCATAAATCCAAGTAATGGTTTAAGCACTTTTTATTGACTTCTTTCTATTTAAGGCTTTAATTGTAATATCTCTACCATCATGGCCACGTTCTTGATAAACACATTCAATTATATCGAATAACTCTTTAACTTTAACAACAACAAAATAGTTTTTCGGTCTAGATATGATGATGATTGCATAGCTGAAAGAACCCAAGATAATACTTTACAGATGCTGGTTGATTTTAATAAATTATTCCATCCTAACATCCTAACATTTATTATACACTGGAACCAGAATCGGACATATATATATATATATATATATATATATATATATATATATATATATATATATATATATATATATATATATATATATATAGATGTGTGTATATACAGTGCTTTTCAGATAAAACTATCCACCTTAAATAAATTTTGAATCTCTAATTTTCTGGAAAACGTCAAGAAAACGTCAATTAATATCTGAAGCGGGAGACATAATATCATACTAAACGTTGGTGGAAAATGCACCCTCTCACCCCCTGTATCAACCCTATATATTTTTTAAATTACTTACCCCTTTTTTTGTTTTATATTTGGATTCTCCTTTTTGTTCTGATTTCAAAAACGTATCATACCTTTGGCTTGAAGTAATTAATTTATCAGATAGACAATTTTCCTGTTAACAAGTAAGTATCTCCCTCACCTTAATTGACTCTAACAAAATAGGTTGTAGCATAATTTAAACTCTTTAAATATTTAACCGTACTATTTGTAGTACCTTTAAAAACCAAGAAACAAAAAAATTCACTTTTTATTCAAGTTTAATCAAAGGTTTTCGATATCATTTTTACATTTGTTTTAATCGGTTAATAGCGACAATTTGTTATAATTTGTAACAGCTTATTTTGATATGTGTGCAATTTGATCGCTGAAATGGTGTACACTTTGCAAGAAAGAATCGAAATTGTAGGTTTATACTACAAAAATAATAATTGTGCATTAGCTGCTGCTAGAATTTTTAATGAAACACACCACAATAGACATGCAACTCATAAGTGTGTGATTGAACTGATGCAGAAAAAATTAGATCAAGAGGGTCAGTTTGCAATAAAAAACATAACCGACAGGAACTTGTTGTAAATAAAAAAGCAATTCAAGTAGCTGTTTTAGGGCAAGTTAACTTAGACTCTTAACAATCACAGTCACTGTCAACAATAAGCAGAGCAATCGGTGTTTCATCTTCTACAGCCTTCCGAGTCCTCCATTAATTTAAGTTTTATCCAAATAAAATTAAATTAGTACAAGATTTAAATGAAGAAGGTTTTGATCGTCGTCCCGAATGTTGCGAATTAATGATAAAATGCATCATTGCCAATCCACAATTGTTAAACAATATTTGCTTCTCGGATGAATGCTCATTCTCATTAAACAGTTTGGTGAACAGATATAATTGCCGATACTGGGCTGAGAGTGATCCACATATTGTACGCGAATTTCACACACAGCATCCTCAAAGGTTAAACGTATGGTGTGGTATCCTACGTAATCACATTATCGGACCCTTCTTTATCACTGGAAACTTAAATGGTGCATCGTATCTTGAATTATATAGGCAAGTGGTTGATCGTTAGAACAATAGTAGCAAATGATGATAACCTTTCCGATGATTTGGTTGTATTTCAACATGATGGAGCTTCTCCACACTTTGCTTTACCTGTGCGATAATTTTTAAACGAAACGTCTCCCGGTCCTTGGATAGGTAAAGACGACAGATGATCGATTGGCCACCTAGGTCACCGGATTGAACACCCCTAGACTTCTTCTTATATAAGTATTTAAAAACAAAAATTATGCTACTCAACCAGAATATCTAGATGATTTACAACAAAGAATAGAGGATGAATGTCGATGAATATTTAAGTTTCAATATTTGCATAATAATTCTTAGATGTTACGTCTTTAGTGTCTTCCTCTATGGAGTAGAAAACTGGAGCCTTATAGAAGATGCCATAAAACGATTGGAGGCTTTTGAAATGTGGTGTCATTGACGTATGTTGAGGGTCTTATATATACACCACACAAGTAACATAACTATTCTCCAGCGGCTAAGAACAGACAAAGAAATTATTAGCACCATAAAAAACAGAAAATTATATCCGACTTCTACAGTTGATTATACAGGCCAAGATTGAGGGCAAGAGAAGCCTCGGACGTAGACGTATATCCTGGCTGGCCAATCTTAGGAAATTGACTGGTCTAATGTCAACTGATCTATTTCGAGCTGCTGTGAATAGAATAAGTTAGGTCAATGTGATCGCCAACATCTATAGAAGATAGCCATTTAGAAGAAGATTTTCTGTTTTTGTTTCCATCTCTCTCTTTCTATTATACATTTTTTCTATCCTATCTTTAATGCACTATTAATTTCTAGTTTCATGTTTGGCTCTTTTGTCACCATTTTTTGTATGTCTTGTCTTAGTCTCTCTTCATCTTCCAGGTCCGTCTCAGTTACTGATATGATTAATTTGTTGCGTATTTTTTCTTTATCGATCTTCTTTTATCTATACTCTATGATTGTAAATATTTGTTTGAGTTCTTTGTTTTCTTTCTTCCATTTATGTTCTTTTTTTTCTCCTATTTTTAAATTTGTGTTTACTTTGTTTTGCTTAAGTTTATGCTTTGTATGTTAGAGATCGTTTTACTAGTAGTATTATAATAAATTATTATTATTAGTAGTAGTAGTACTATATTTCTTTTAAAAGGCTTCGCACATTTCAGGTTCCAAAAGCTTAATTCCATGATCATATTTTTTTTCTGAGTTCATTGTTATAAAGTCCGATTGTCGCATCAGTGATTGTATTCGCAACAATTGATTTTCAAAAGGGAGGATTGTTATAGTCCATTTCCATCATATTGATAGTACATAATGTATGTAAATCCCTAAACTGTTGATACGGCTGACTCAATGAAAAATAGATATTTGTCAACAAGTTTACAAAAGTATATAGGAAAACAATTTTAAATTAAGTATGACCAGCAGGTATAAAGATTGAAGCAAAATAGAATACAATAGTTTTGAGAGTTACTAATCCCTAAATAAAGTTGCCAGTGTCAGAGTGATGGATATTACAATTGGTGTATTTGTGGTATTAAATAATTTGTGGCCGTAACAGGAACCGATTTGTAAAAAAATGAATATAATTTTAATCAAATTCCATTTCAGATTCACTGCTTTTTTCAGAATCTAAGGAATCTTCAACTCCAATGTTAATTATTACCGGTTCCAGCATTGCATCAGTCATATTATCCAAATACCATATTTTATTTTTTTCCTTGTGAGCACGACTAACAGCATTTTTTCAATTTTCTGGAGTTACTTTTGATAAGGAATGTTCTAATAATTGTTGTAAGTCTTCTAATTTAAAAGTTTTGTTGTTGCGTCCGACTTCACCCTTTACTTGAGACCATATATTTTCTATCGGATTCAGATCACAGTGGTATGGGGGTAAACGTAAAATAATTACATCACAGTTTAATGCCATTTCATCAATTATATATTTTTTATAAGCTGCTTTATGTTGCCTTACAATAGGTAATAATTTCTTTTTTTGTCGAATTTTCTTTGTACTCAATTGCGTGTTTATCCAACCATTCAATTACCCCTCCTTTTTTCCATGACGTTGTTGGCAATTTTTCTGCTAGTTTTGAATGGTAACTAGCATTATCCATGACTATGACAGAATTTTTTGGAACTAAATCCAACATTTGCTCAAAATATTTTTCAAAAACGTCAGCAGTCATTTCCTTGTGGTAATCTTTGGTTGATTTTGAGGCAAAACTTAATATCCCTCCATTGACAAAACCGTATTCGTTTCCAATATGGGTTATTTTAAGTCTGCGTTCTTTTCTAACGGGAATATTGTTTATTCCAGTAGATACACCTTCGATGAATGCCTGACGGGAACTTTTCACACTTGTATCAACACATAAATATGGTACAGTATGACCTTCATTTAGCCAAGTCTCGTCCAAATAAAAAATTGTTTTCCCTTCTTCTCGGTACTTTTCAATAGTTCTTAGATAATCTCCTCTCCAATATACAATGTAATATTTTTCAATTAAAACGGATTTTCTTCTATTCTTTTGCCAACGAAATCCCATCTCTCTCAATAGTCCCCATAATTTCTTGTTGCTTATGATTGGTAACTCTTCGTTTTCTCTAATTAATGTTTGGATTTTGTCCAATGTTGGAAATTCTTTGTTAAAGAAAAAAATGAGTGAACGCTGCATCTTATCGTGTTTTTATGTATTTCTTCAATTTCCAAGGGTTCACTCCCTCCACTCTTCTTGGGAGATGAAACAGTTCCTTCTCTTCTTTCTTTTCTTCTTCTTCTTCTTCTTCTTCTTCGTCTAGCCATTCACGTCTACATCTGAACATAAGCCTCTTCAAGTCCTCCTTTCCATTGTTTTTTATTGTACGCTACTTGTACCCAATTTTTCCCGGCAGTCCTTTTCAGATTATCTGTCCATCTTATAGGAGGTCTGCCTCTGAGTATTTTGTGTTGGTATGGTCTCCAGGTTAAAACTGATCTGTGTTATTTGTTTAGATTGCTCCTAGCTACATGTCCAGCGTATTCCCATTTCAACTTTATTGATTTTTGCACCACATCGGTGACTTTGGTTTTCTGTCTTATCCATGTGTTTGTTTTCTTGTCCTTAACTGATATACCTAGCATTGCTCTTTCCATCGCGTGTTGAGTGACTCTAAGTATATTCATATTCTTTTTTGTGATTGTCCATGTTTGTGCCGCACAAGTTAATATCGGAATAATGCATGCACCAAAAACTTTAGACTTAAGATGTAATTGAATTTGTTGATTTCTGAGTGTATAGTTCAGTTTACCAAATGCTGCCCAAGCTAACTTTCTTCTTCTTTTTATTTCTTTAGTTTGAATTTCCCTATAAGGTATTATTTTTTGTCCTAAGTATATATATTCTTCAACTTTTTCGATAACTTTATTGTTTATTATTATCACGGTGTCTTCGGAGTGCATAAATTTTGTGTTGTTTAAATTCATTTTCAATCATATTTTAAAAGATTTAGTATGTAGTTCTAAAAGCATGGTTTGCATTTCTTGTAGGTCAGTAGCTATCAGGATTATGTCATCTACAAATCGTAGAATACTGAGGTAGCGGCCATTGATGTTTATTCCCTTATATTTCCAATTTAGGTTTTTAAAAACGTCCTCCAAAACTAAGGTCAACAGTTTGGGTGATAAAGTATCTCTCTGTTTGACTCCCCTGTTTAATGGTACAGGGTTCGTGTGCTCATTTTTATTTAGGTAGTATGTAGCTGTAGCTTGGTTTATAGTTTCTTTTATTAAGTTAATATATCTGCTGTCTATTCTACAATTTTGCATTGCGTTTATTACGAATGTGTGTTCTATGGTATCGAAAGCTTTTTTGTAGTCTACAAATGCTAGGAAAACTGGAAACTTGTATTCGTTACATTTTTCTATTATTATTTTTGTGAGTAACAGGTGATTGGAAGTTGAATAGACTTTTCCTAAAACTTGCCTGTTCATATGGTTGGTGTTCGTCTAATTTCCTTACTAGTCGAGTAGTTATGACTTTGGTGAGTATTTTAAACAGGTGTGACAGCAGGCTAATGGGTCTGTAGTTTTCCAATTTTCGACTTTCACCTTTCCTGTGTAATAAGATTACTTTCGACTTGTTCCAGCTCTTAGGGACTTTGCCCTGATGTAAACAACTGTCCACAAGCTTAGTTACAATTGCAATTAGTTCCTTACCTCCTTCTAATATCATATCTGTGGTAATACTATCTTCTCCTGCAGCTTTATTCCTCTTTATATTTTCCAATGCTGATACATTTAAAATTGTTACTTTTGGCATTATTTCTGATCCAACATTTTTTCATTTCCGTGCTGGTCTCATTTCATCATCTTGTTGATGTGATCTGTAAAGTTCTGTGTAAAATTCTTCTATTCGTGTCGGTATGTTTTCTCTAGTTGTTATTTTATTTTCGTCTTTTCCTATTAATGATATCATCTGACGTCGTCGTAGTGTCGGTCTAAGGCATTTCATACTCTTATTTTTTTCAATAGTTGTTGTTATTAGATTTTCGTTTTCTTTTCTTTTTTGTTGTCTGATTCCTTTTCTAATCGGTCTATTAAGTTCTCTATATTCGTCGGTTCCTCTTTTGTTAGATTTATTTAAGATCTTCCTTCTTTCTATTTGTTGTAATATTTCTTTGTCTAATTTATTGTATGTTATTTTTGGTTTTTTTAGTTGCAGAAGGCTTTTATTCACTGTTTCGGTAATAAGGTTATTCAAATCATCAATATAATTGGAGTTTATCTGCTGCATGCTAACTTGATTTAATGCATGCGCTATCTTTTTATTAAATTTACTATTCTTGATTTCTTCAGATGTCCATTTGTATCTTTTTCATGTATTCTTTTTTGTCTAGGTTTTTGTTAATTATTAGTTTTGTTGTTATTAGTCTTTGATTGCTTCCTAGATCAAACTGATTTAATACTGATACGTCTTCTACTAGGTTTCTATTCTTCGTTAATATATAATCTATTTCATTCTTTGTCTTTTTATCTGGGCTAATCCATGTTCATTTTCTGCTTGGTTTTTTATTAAAAAAGGAGTTCATTGAGTACATGTTATGTTCATTCACGAAATTGAAAAGTGTTCATTTTCCTTTATCGTTTCTTTTCCCGTAGCCATAGTTACAAATTAAATGTTTATAATCTTCCTCTTTTTTGCCCAATTTAGCATTTAAATATCCTAATACTATTTCGTAATTTGCTTTATTTTTTTTATAGCTGTTCTTATTTCATCATAAAATATTTCTACTTGTATAGAAAACAATAATTACCTTTAAATTACTGTTTACATTAATTTATTTAGTGAAACATTGAATTCTCTCGTTATTCACCCGTGTATAATTAACAATAATCCTGTGGCATATATACCGACATTTTCTACGGACTAAAATTTATAGTGAGATTAGTGGACACTTATTTTACAGAAGATTTTTAAAAAGATAATGAATTGTTGACGGCATCTTAAAATTTTAATTTTTTCTATTTATTTTAAAACAAGTATAGGGTGACGCCCATGGTTTTTTGACCTGTTGAGGATTTTCATACATAATGTGCTATCAATATAACGGAAAAAAACTATGTGTTTTTTTGCTGAACCTCCCATTAATCGAAATACCAAAACTCTTTCTTTCGTCAGTCAGGACTCCACCTTCGTATTAGGCTTGGTTCCCAATGCAATTAAATCTGTCTCCAGTTTGACTATGTTTCCAGACAACCAGTGTGTACCATCTTGAAAGTGGACATATTAATTAAGTAGGAGGGGCTAAGTGGTGCCAACAGGATGCAGCATTATTACGCTTAACTATTCGTTTACACACCCTTTTCACCCTACTTTTCATATAAAATAGTCTTACTTTTATACTGTCAGGGTCAGTTATGTATGCAGCAAACTAGTATGTTATTGCTAGTAAGTTTTTGAAATATTTGTTATTTCTAGTTTTATCTAAAGTACTCAAAGATGCATTATAAGAGCTTTGCAGATATTGTGCAAAATGGAAATATATCTTCATATATTTTTGCCAAATTTTCTAAATAATTGTTAAAATCCCACCATTTGAGCTTGGCGAAATTATAATATAATATTATTGAATCAAATTTCTCGTCATCACAAAATGTTGTTTTACTATTCACTACTCGAAAACAGAAAACGCCCTGTTTTTTAGGTTTTTTGTGGGACAAACTAAATATTGTAATAAATATTTTAAAATACGTAAATAATCTTTTTCATTTCTTTTGACTCCGCCACTGCGTATTATCTTGAGTAATTCCTTAAATCAATAACAGCTTTTATTTGTCGAATGTTTTATAAAATGAATTGAGGGATATGGCAGATTATAAAAGATTTTTGATTGTGGGACTTTTGTTCCATTGTTGTCCATAAAAGCAGCTTTCTTATAACAATCCTTTTGGGGAATAGAATCCAAGAGCCTTATGGCGCACCGCAACAATTAAATCTCTTTTTGCCTCAAGTATTTGTGTTGTGACTTATGAACTTAAAAAATGTTTTTAATAACGATGTAGTGTATATTGTTTACTTATAACAATACGATTATATTAACTCTATGGCAGAATTCACGCACATTTTGAGTTTATTAATAAATATTTAATGAAGTGCAAAAAATCAAGGTAGCTTGACATAAAAGGTTATTAAAAATGGTGGTATACCAAACATAAATGAGTTTTGAATTATTGGGCAATATTTAAAACATAATAAAAGTGCTGTCAAAATTATTTTTAAAAAAAGATAATGATACAAAAATCAAATAGGAGAGCATAGTCCAATTATAGGTTTTAGCTTATGACTTTCTTTTTAGTCAACTTCTTTAACATTTACTTACATAAAAATTAATGGAAAATCCCAGGAGTTAACTGTATACCATCGTTTAAAAAAACATACAGAAGCTAAAACACTTTACAATTGTATTTTGGTATAAAAAAATATATAGTTAAAACTTTTTAAAAAGTGTCGTCAAAATTTGTACAGTAGCATAACGTTTTCGATCTAATCAGCTCATCCTCAGTGCCTTATGTAGTTAAAGGTAACAATAAAGTTGTGGCTGTGTCATCCAGATATACATCATTCCATATTTAAATTATTTTCTGACTCTATGTCGATTACATTAAATAAAATTTATTACTTTAGGGACTACATGTCTCCTTGCTCGGTTTTTAAGACGTGGTACTTGTCAGTTAAAACGACACAGACCAACTGGCTAAGATGACAGGAATATAATTTAAGAAAACAGCTAAACATGGCGAGGTATGGGTGTGTTCCGAAACTAATGCAATTTTTTAATTATAAAAATTACAAAATTTATTTTGTTGTAATAATACCTAATATCTTATTAATAAACTTGTAGTTAAAATTAAATTTGTTTAAATGATAAAATTTATTTTCTTAAATCTGCAAAACTCTAGTATTGAAAAAGAAATTAGTTATTAAATTAGTGGAATTATTGTTTAACGTTGGATTTATGACATAAGTAGTATGAAAAATGATAAAGGTAGAAAATGAAAGGAACTGATGTTGTACTATCCACACAATAGTGTAAGAAAAGGTATAAAAAATTAGTATAATAATATACTAAAAGATTAAGTTGAAATCCAATGAAATGGAAGTAAACAAAAATTATTTTTTTTGATTGGGTAATGGTGGTTGCCTAGCAACATTAAGAGACCTGTAGTGTAACTCTCTGGGAGTTTAAAAATTTTAATTAGTAAAATAACCCCCTCTGTGGCTCCGTGGTAAGAGCGCCTACCTTTGAACTTAAAGATCGTGAGTTCTAATCTCACCAGGATAGAGAAATTTTTGTTTATTAAAAAATTAATAAATGAAAACAATTTCTTTCCTTGTGCGATGGGTACTCACCGGAGGGACCGCCGATGTTCGGATACAATTAGCGTCTCTTAGCATAGCCAATGACGTCGACTTTGCTAAGTATCAAGACAATTACTCTACACACACACACACACACACACACACACACACACACACACACACACACACACACACATACACACACACAAACACACATACACACACACACACACACACACACACACACACACACACACACACACTACACTAGGTACCTGACTGTAAAAAATCATTGTACCATGCCAATGACCATTAGTTGTCGACGCATTAAAATCAATAAAAAAAATTAGTAAAATTAATAAGCTTATTAAAAAGTTTAATGAGATATAATAATAACAGAATATGATATGCAATATTATTATATTGTAGTTTTTGATAGTGTTAATGTAGGTAGTATTACCCTATCGTGAAGTATGTTAAAATGAATGTAAATGAAGTTGAATAAGAATCAATGAAAATAATAATATAGAAAAGAGGAAATTTAAAATATAGTTTGGATAATATACAACAGCAAGAATAAATTGGATACTATGTTGTTGTGAAGCGTATTAACAAAGTTAGATAATTAAGTATGTAAATGAAAAACCAAACAAAATAATATGTATATGAATATGTATTAGAGAAAGAATGAAATAATAGAGACTATATGTTGAGTTAACTGTGAGGGGATTAGATTGACTGCATATCTGAGTTGGTTATGGGAAATGTGTAGTATAGGTGGTAATGGGGTCCATAGACTGAAAGTGTCGAATGGATGTGTGAAGATGAATGATGGAGTTTAATTTTAGTGATGGAGTTTAAGTTTAAAGTTAATGATGAAAAATACTAATGAAGAACAGTACAAAGACAAGTAAGGTGACTCCAAGAACTGAGAGACATGAGGAAAGAATATGTGATGAAGTGAGTC